AGAAGTTTGCTGTTTGCTTTTTGGGGTGTCACCAGAGTTTGAAGATGGCTAGTTGGGGGGGTCATAGTAGTGTTTGTTCACTCAACAAAATGCGTTACTATGAAGCTTACTATGATTACGTTACTAAGATCTCTATTTTTTAGCTATCATTTAAACACTTTCCAAAGCAAAGAAGGCTAAATGAGGGAACAGTTAGTGAGACAAATAAATTGTTAAAAATGAAATGCAACAAAAAGATTTTACAGAGTCATTTGCAGAAGATATGTGGAAGGATGGTAACAGGTCGTGACATTTCCAACATTTCTTGGCAAAAAAAAGGGTTAAGTGGGAAAAGGACTGAGGTATAGCTTCCTATTTAAACATGTTACTAGTGCACTTGTTTAATATCAGTAGAATTTCCCATTTTCCCCTCATCCATAATATTAGATGGATCAATTGCAGTTCACCACCAAATCATGTTTAGCTGATATTGTTTTTGAGTTGTAGGTAGGATAAATAATCATATAATCATAAATAAAAAATAATTGTACCTTAGGTGCTACTGCCAAAGTTGCGTTGTCGATGACGAATAACCTGCTGGGTTTATACATATGTAGCCTTCATTAGTTTATTTAGGATAAACTAATGAAGGCTACATATGATTCATTCCCTGAAATAGTTTTCATTTATGCTACTTACAGACTGAACGAGCTGAAAATGCCGCTGTATGTAATGTTCGGGGAAGATGGCAATGGCGAAAGTGAGATTTTCTGCACACTCATTGTATCCAATGAAGAGAAACCAACCAATCAGAAAATGGAGCAGATCTTTAAAAATCACAATCCTTCATGGACAGGGACAAAAAATGTCATGACTGATAAAGACTTTGTTGAGCGTCAAGTATTAAAAGAAGAGTTTCCTGGTGTTCACTTGGCTATATGTCTTTTCCATACCCAGAGGACTTTCAGGAGGGAGGTAACATGTGATAAAATGGGATCACAGCAGAACAACGAAACCTGTGTCTGGAAATATTCCAGAAGATGACTTATGCAAAAAGTGAAAATGAGTATCAGAATTTGTGCAAAGATCTAGAGTCCCAAGTGTCTTGGAACAAAAATCCCAAGTGTCTTAGAATATTTCAGGAAGAATTGGGACAAAGAACACCATGAATGGGTTGAGGGTCAAAAGTCTGCTAACTTGACATTCCTGAAGCGAACTAACGACAGGTATGTATGCGAATAGAAATTTTTAGAAAGGATATATCTTTAGAGACTCTACGCGGTTATAAAAAGGGAAAATCTATCCTTTGAAATAAAATGTCTCAACTGAACTGAATACATTCTGGCTGAACTCATACAGTAATTAAAGTGATCGCAAAAGTAGATTGCATAATATTTCACCACAGCACTATTTGCTTACTTGTGAGAAATAAAACTAAGAGTTCTATCCTTAAACAAATTTTTAGATTAGAATCCTTGAATCAAAAGATCAAGACTCTGTGCTCTAGAAATACAAGCCTTGACCAGTTTTATGAAGAACTTCTGGTCGTGTTTCAATCTATTACGACTCTACGTTACCATAGGGCAATTACATTATTGCAAAAACGACCTGTTTCACGGTATGCATGCTGAACGTACAGCAGAAGCCAAATATATGGAAGTCTTAACCCCTTATGCATTTGGATTTGTGATGCAACAGCTAGAGTTGCCGCCAAAGTTAAAAGTATTCGCAGAAAGGATTCTGAAGCTACCACTGAATTTGAAGTTGATGCGTCATCTGGCAAACTAACAGTGTCTGACTGTAACTGTGAGTGCATGTTCTTTACAGCAACGATGCTTTCTTGCCGACATATCTTTGCTGTTCGTAGAAATTTGGAGAAAGATGCTTTTGACATTTCTATTTGTGCTACAAGGTGGACAAAAAGTTACTACAAGTCAACACAATATGTCCTCAAAAGTTGCAATGGAAAGAAGTTTTGCTCAACTCCAGATTCAACTCCAGATGAAGCTGCTCCATTATGTATTGAACAACATACAAAAAAGCAGATCTTGTCACAACATGAAAAGTACAGGAAAGCTTTTGCAACGTGTCAAACTTTGGCATCATGTGTGTAAGAGTTTCCCATGCAGAAATTCCATGAAAAAGCTGCTGTCTTGGGGAAGATTTTGATGTATTGGAGAAATGGTGATGAAATTGCTGTTCAAAAGGTTTCACATGAGGACAGTGAGGGTATGTTATTTTAATAGATGTTTAGTGAAAAACAAGTTAACATGCTCAAACATGGTACTTAATAAATTGTTCTAACTGCATGTCAGCGCACCGCCTATCCCCGATCCTTCTCCCATTTTGAACTAATTCTCCATTACATCTAGAAATACATTTAGAGAGTCAGGTGTTTGCCTAAAATGACAAGACAGCTGGAGTGATGCAGTTAAAAACACCTGAAAGACAGGGGAACTATAATAATGTTCGCAGTGGCTATTTTAAAACACTCAATGGCGATATTTCAATTTTTCGGTGTTTATGATGTTACTAGTACTTCTTTAGAAAACCAGCACACCATAACAGATGAGGCTGAAATGAGTGATGCAACATCTGGAGTAAAGCCTTCAAATATTGGAAAAACGCAGGATAATGCTAGAAAAACACAAATTTAGGCATGTGTCTCGATTATAACTGCTTTATAAGTTCAATATTCATAACACACTGGCAAGCATTGTAGCATTATTTTCATTTTCATACGTTATAACAGGTGAAATTGAAGTGAGCAATCCACAAACTGAGCGGGATACAAATAAACATCAAGGTAATCATTTTCATTATCATGAAAGGTGTAGCTAGATTTGGCTATAAGAATATAATCTAGTATCCTGCAGATATTAGGTGAATTCCATCCTATTCTCTGCTCTAGTTATTAGATTTTTAATGTATTTTGTTATTTTGCAGCATGTAGCAAGATCAAAATCCCCCTGTTATGCCTAAACGTGGCCGTCCAAAAGAAGCTGACCTAACAGCGATTGGGATACTAAGAAAGAGCTTTAAGGCAAACGAAAAGTCTGGAAAGAGTAGGCCAACACCTTTCATGAAAAAGACAGCTACAGTTAAGGATAAAAGTGAGAGTTTGATACAAACATACTGTAAATTTTTGGTGGAACTATGACTGGTGGCCTCCCGGACTTTACTAACTTCTCCCTCCCCCCAAAAAAAAAATATAATATTGACTTGCCATTTTTACATGAGGTAATGTTAATCAGCCCTTGCAAGGTTAATTAATGCAAACAAATAACAAAGGTTGACAAACACCAGTTATACCCAAAGGAGGAAGGGGTATGCTTAATTTAATACAGGAACTTTTAGTGATGCAAACATGTACCCAGCCGTTTTTAATGAAATAACCATTTTTATGTAGTCATGTTGTCTTGGCTGCTGTCGAAAAATGATGTTACCTCAGCCCTCCATGGTGATATTATTGATGAGACCGCTGTGGAAGTCCGACCGGAAAAAGTGCACCCTGCCCAAATTGATAAAAATGTGAATGTGCTGAGGCTTAGACCGTATTTCAACAAAGATGCCTAGTTATTGGTGAACCAGGTACTTGATCAAGTGAGAAAAGAGCCGACTTGGCTTTGTGAAGTTTGTAAGAGTGATGTTGAGGAAAGTTGTGTGTCATGTAAGAGTTGTTTGAACTGGTTTCACTTTGAATGTGTTGCATTAAAGAAAGCTCCTAAGGCAAAACATTGGTTTTGCAGGAAATGCTGTGCTGAAAGTTGACTTTATAATATAAAGAATACACATAAAAATGATACTCAAGGTATTGTGGTTATTTGTCAGTCATATCACTTATTAAAAGTATATGCACTGTAGTCTACATGTAGATTTTAATAACTATAAAACTTTAAATTCTACCTAGGGGAGCATGCCCCACCCCCAAAAGCAAACTGACTCTGGTTGATAACTTACTATCTTATCTATACTTATCAATCACTAAACTAATATAAAACATTAAATGTTGTTTATTTGGGAAATAAAATGCATGCAAGATTTAATAAAAATGTGAAAACTTATACGGAACTCGACAAGATGAATGCATAAGAAGATACGATTTTTGAAACTATAATGAGTTTCCAACTTCTGGTTGAAAACTGATGACTTTTCATTTCTGGTTGGTGAAATTCAATGAAATAGCGTGTTTCTTTTCTATTACGCAATTTTTCGGAAAAATAGTGCTTTGTTGAACGGTCGGACACGATGTCGGAAGAATAATCATTTAATCAATCCCCGAATAACAAAAAACAGTCCAATATATTAAGTCGATATTTTTTTTTTGCGCATGCGCTACATGAATGTCGAATGAATAGCTATCAGACAGGGAGTTCCGGTGTCTGATGAATATCCACGGGGTATTAAAAAAGGCTTCCCAGCAACCAGCTATGAACTGACAAATGACAGTATGACAATACGCGAAGGAGATTTTAACAGTGTTGGTCCACCGCACGAGCTATCAAGTTACATATTATCTCTCCCATATCATAGATCTTCGTATTTTGGTTAAAATTTTTCCTTTTTTGTACTTTTATCGACACAAAAATCGAGTTAATACATGGTGTTTGTGTAAATACAGAGGTGCAAACAGCTCGCAAAAAAACCTCAACAAAGAGGCAAATTTTAACACTTACCGGTCTCTGATTCACAAATACTTCCAGCCACCTATCAACAAAAACCCACTTATTCTCAATAATCTTTCAAATTGAACAGTTTTTTAATTCTCTTGGATAGATCGAGCAAAATGCGCAAATGTAAATTTCCCTCACTCATTATAGATTTGTATGGAAAATAACGCTGGCCGCGCGCTCGCCCCAATGTTTTTGACAAATAAATTTGGATCGAATTTTAAAATTTATGCTGCAAACAATCACAGAAAGCACGACATTCTGCATTAGTTTTTTACGTTTATAACTATACAAACCTGTACATTAATACGCAGTATTTCACTTCAGCTATAATCTTTTTCTAGGACCTTATCCTGAGCAATATATGTTTTTGGCGAAAAAGACTGCAATCTTGGCTGCCGATTTAACGACCCCTGATGCCATAGTCATCGTCGATAGAAAAGGAAATATAGAGACGCTGGACATTGACATGAAGAATAAGAAAATATATTTTGCGGAAAAGGGAAAAGAGATTCGTCGGGCAAATTATGACGGGACTTATGAAGAAATCGTTGTGAAGGATGCTAAGACACGGGCATTAACAATTGATTGGATAGGACGTCGTATATTCTGGAGTGATTCTTTGAAGTACATCATTAACGTGGCGACTTTAGACGGAAAAGACAGCAGAACGCTGATTAAAACTCCCGGGCTTTGGGATATAGCAATTGACCCCATCGAAGGGTGAGTTTTCATAAATTGAGAAGTAATCGCAACAAGAGCTAATTATTGGGTTCAATTTCAGAAAAATATTATCAGCATAAAGTCAGATTTGTAAGACAGATTTTTGCGACGTAAGTAACTATGTTTTTCGGATTTTGTTTTTTTCGATTTCTTTTGATTTTTGGACATGAATTCGTTCTTCTTGATTATTGTTCAATTTTCATGACTTGTCAGATGCTTTTTCACATTGCCGAACCTGCCTTAACGTGTAAAATAAATCCTTCATATCTGTTATTCAGTGCATGCTATGTAGATGATAATTCTAATTTACAGTTTGCTTCACCTCATAACTGTGCCTATTGAAGATCTGTAAAAAAACTGTAAAAACAGATGGGTCAAAATGACCCATTAGCAATTGTAGTTCTAATTCATACTTTTTGGGTTAAAATTTTAAACCAGAATAATTGGTGAAAATGAACTTTCTAATTCAGATTTCAAAAATTTATAAATATCAGTTAATACTACGAAATTTAAACAGGTTGTCCTAGAAGTAAGTTGTCAATATCAAAACGAAACATCGGAACTGCTGAATAAAAACAATATTTTGCAAAATAATCTATAAAATTTAATTTTTAAAAAATTTCGATTTCATTCATAAAAAATCTCACAATATTAATCAAATATAGGTATATTGCATGTAAAATACACCATTATTTCATGCAAGGAAATATTCTTAATTAGATTGCTCATTTCCAATGGATAGAAGTAAATATTCCACAACTGGAAACAATTCTTACTGTGTTAAGTCCACCTTCTCTATATATATTCTGCATTATATCTATAATATGCAGACCACCAACAAGTCACGGTATTATTTAAAATGTTCATACTTATAACTTAGCAATGAATACTCCTTCCTTCATGCATCAGCATTATTGAATTAATGTCAACCAATATATCATAATCAGAATCCTTGTGGATGCACATTTTTCAATCTTCGTTGTGAGGTATCCTGCTACATTGTTATCTCTGGGAAAAAAATTATAGAAACTTTAAGAACTATAATTACAACTTCTTAACAAACAATGATACAGTATTTGAATTCTTAAATTTTTATATTTGGAAAAATTATCTCCTGGAAAAGAACTATTTTGGCTTTACATAATATAAACATGGCATAAACAAAAAAAATATCACAAAGTGCATGTACTTACATTTACAGTATCCGAAACTAAATGGCCACAATTTGACTTCAAGTTGTTTTTTCCTTGTATACCAAACATATGTATGATGATCATCTCTTCCCATTCTCTTTAAAATATAATAATAATAGTAATGATTTATTAAAAGTATTTCCACGTATGTGGCTCTTCGCCTTCAAAAACTAACTATTTACTGTATAAAAAATAAGTATCTAATTAAAAAGTTAATTGAGTAATTAAGAAGTGCGATATATAAAAAAGTTGTCTGGAGTATATTATAAAATCAACGAAGATTCTCTTATTCAAGGCAAGATTGAGCTTTTGCAAGCAAGTCAGTTTTAACTGCGTTAACAAACATTGAGAAATGTTTTTAATGTAAATAGCAAGCCAAGTAAAAGTCTTTGAAGCCATATCTTTAAAGGTGCCACGTTCCTTAATTGAAATATAAATTCGAGGAGCCACAGCAGATCTTGAATTATAATTATTAACAACATACAGTTTCAATTTAAGATTCACAGATATGGTCCATTATACAATTATTTATGAACAAGCTTGAGAAGATTTAACTCTCTTCTTTCATACACCAGCAACAATTTTAATTTAAGAACTTCATTTGTACTTACATATTTACCAAGTACAAAAGCTGTGCATGCATTCTGCAAACATTGTAGACGTTTTACTTGATAATCAGGCAAGAGGGTGGGAACCATTATAATTCAACGTCAGTTGCTTCTCATTTATACAACTAATTAGTAATCATTTCAACATACGTATAACAATTTTCCTACAAGATTACTGGGCATAAGACAAGAATATGGCAATAATTGATTAATATTTTCTGTTTTGTAGAGGTTATTGATGTGTCTGCAAATTTAATTGAAATGTATCGCCACTTGCAGAATAATTAGGGAAAGATAACACACCTTTTCCATTCTCGGTGACTCACTTTTTCATATCATTTACAATTATATGCCAGCTGTCAAGGATTCTTGAATCTTGATTACTAACTGTTTTTTACTAAAAGCAGTAAATCATCTTGTAAAATATTTCTCATAAGTAACAAATAGTTCTGAACAAGTTAATGGTGGGCCCAACAAGGTTTTTTAAGCCTAGTTTGGTATAGAGTATTTAAACATATGCATGGCATGCATCAGAATTTAAACATATGCATGGCATGCATTAGTATTTAATAGCATGCATGTAGATTGTATAAGACGGTTCAATTGAAGTGCAGTAACATTTTAACAATCAGCTAAGTGCTAAAGATTATACTCTTGTGAGTCTATATGCTAGAAATTATTTAACTTAAACAGTCATTTCACAGTAATATCCACAACAAATGATAATTTGAGTATTTTATAAGCCTCAAGTTGAAGTTTGATGATAATTCTACCAAACTCTAGTTAGGCTACGTACTTCCGGTTAACAAGAGAATTTAACAATTGTGGACACAGCCTATAAAATTGCAAAACTCGGACAATCTATTGTAACACAGGATTTTGAATAGATTAATTATCATCAATAATAGGTTTGTTATAGAATTTTCGAAACATAGAGACCAATGAACAACCCACATGCTTCAGGACCATGTGGTTTCACCTAAGAAATTAGTAATTTTGTAGATGTGGCCTTTCTTAGTGTCAAAGTTCTGCTCAAATAGGTCTCCAAAGCATGGTATAGACGCACAGTTCCTCTTGTTGGTATTTCCATGCATAAAAGGTTGAGAACGAATTACCAGGTCGATTCTGTTTTAGAGGACTAGTAAGATGAAATTCATAATAGTTTCTGTTTTCCTCGTACTTTGGAGATCCTGAAAAGTCAAGGTCTGACATCGTTGACCCAACGTGAGGGCAAGTAACATGACAAGCTTTAAGGAAAGGTCTTTTAAAGATAACTGAGCAGCAGGGGACATTCCTTTTAAATAATCTAATACGACATTAACATTTCATGTTTCGTCATTCTTGGCGGCTGGCTTTCTGGAATTAGACACTACTTTCATGAAGCGAACAATTAATATATGAGTGTATGGTTACTCTATAGTGTGTTCTAATAAATTTAGCGTCCATTAAATAGCTTGACAAAGCTGAACGAGGCGTATTTATGGCAGAGTAAGATAATGTGGGTCATATAAACCAACAAGAAGAGTTAACGCATTATTGACAAAGCTAAGGGTAGCTTTGGATTAATTTGCCCTTGAAGGCAAAACTCAGGCCATTTTGCAATGTAAACGTTGTATTGCTTGTAAGTCGCTGGTTTCCATAAATACATAATGACGTCCCTTACGAAAATATTCTATAGAATATTCTATTGAAATATTCTATAGAATATCCTATAGAATATTCTAAAAGATTTTGGCACTAATTCTATAGAATATTCATTAGGATATTCTATGGAACATTCAATAGAAGATTCTATAGAAGATGCTATAGAAGATGCTATAGAAGATGCTATAGAATGCTATAGAAGATTCTATAGAAGATGCTATAGAAGATGCTATAGAAGATTCTATCGAAGATCCTATAGAAGATTCTATAGAAGATGCTATAGAAGATGCTATAGAATGCTATAGGATATGCTACATACAGTAGCATATTCTACAGAACATGCAATTGCAATATTACACAATTAAGAAGTGCTATTCACTCTTCTGTGCAATATTACCAATATATTATGTCTAGCTATGAGAAAACATCAATGATGAAAATCACTTCAAGAATAAAAAGATATATATTAGAAATATTGGTATATATGTATCAGTACATCAAAAGTTGTGCAACATTGAATACTTTTGTTTGTAATGTATTTTGGTAATATTAATTATTGTCTATTATTCTATATGTTGGATATTTTTAAAGTGTTTGTCTGACCAGTAGCTCAGTTCATTATTTTTCGCAGGACTTCTTTTTAGCATTTTCTTAGCATTACTTGTCACACTTCAGATGCAGGACAACCATATCTTTTTGAAGTATACTCTACATTAAGGAATATGATTGAAAAACTGTTTAAAAATGCAGGACTTGTCTTACCATGCTGTGAGTGATGAAATAGTATACAATATATATTTATCTAACTGAAATAAGTTATCAGCTTACCACATATGCCATTGACTTTTTCTTTGTCAAGTTGTGGCTTGGCATCCTTCTCCTTTAATGCATTGGAGATCTTTCCTGTCATGGAGTGTGTGGACAGAACCTCCCGGCTCCACAATATACCCATAATATTGAGTACACAAAATCCTTTAAAATTAATTGCCTTTTCCTTTTAAAACCTTCTGTTGAGTCTTTGTTATTGAGACACTGGGGCATAAGGGCACCTACAAATATAATTATACCATTTTGACCTTTGGTTTATAGTATGATGTTTGGACATAAGCAAATCTGCAAATTTAATAGTAAATGCAATTTCCTTTCTAAGATATTTTAAGGTATTGGTATTTTCTATTTGTGAAACAGTCAGGTTTCATGAGTTTGATAGCTGTTTCAAAGTGGCCATTTTGAACTTGCCTTAAGTGACAGCCTCATTAAGTCTTTTAAGGTTGAAAATCACTCGAAATTTTTCCTGGCTCCTTTTTAGGCCGAATAAAAATTGGAAAAATCCTCACCACACCTTATGTTTTTAGATAAAAATTCGAAAACTTGTTTATCAATGGCTTGCTGTTCAGGATTCGAAAATTTCTATTCCGGATTAAAACTGTTCCTTTGTTGGTGAGGTGTCGTAATGAAATTTAATTTTACAATTGCTTACACAACTTAAGACAAATGCATCTGACGTAATTCCTTGCCATTGCCCAGCTACAAACGCTGGCTGTTCAGAAAGCAATTCAGTTATTTTAACGAAAGTATTGACCTGTGGCGGATCGAGCTGCATGGTGGAATTAACTCTGATTCAGCTTGTTCTGGGTGGAACTGAACTTCGCGTCTGGTCTACGCCGATACGAGTCTCTGTCGCCGAAAAAGACTGAAGGGAAGAAAGTCGTTGATTGTAATTTTTTCCGCTGTTGCCTCTCATTGAGGTTGCATGACTTGATCCTCTCGGTAGAAACGATGGGTAAAAGTGAAGTCTCTGCCGTCGGGACTTCATTAACATCATCCCTAAACAAGATTCAAATATCTGTTGCCAGACAAAGCGAGAACAAGGACATAACTTCTCCCGTTGTTTTCTCGCAAGCTTGAATAATAGCATAAATTGAGGAAGTAAATAATATCTGGCACTTTTGCATGGCACTGTCTGCTGTTCGGGTGGCTTGTTTAAGTTGCTGCCAGACAACCTTGGTGACTTGGAGCGACGAGAAAATAACAATTCTCAGGTCGCAGATACTTTTGAAGTAGCTCCTCCAGTTTAGCATTGGGTAATCAATCTGTCATAAGCTCGCTGATGAGTTCGCCAATTTCTCGTCAATTGCTGGCCCTGTTTTGTTTGCAGTAGAAAACTCAGCAGCAAGGTCGTCAAACGAACTCGAAGTGTCGGCGGTGTTCGGCTCATAAAGATAACTCTGTATCATATCAGTGTCTTAAGGCTCGACCTGTTGTTGTTGACTAGTTTGTTCATCAGGGTGATTACACGCCTCAGCTTCGATAACGTAATCTTCGAAGTGCTTCAACATATCATCTCGCATCTGTGACATCTTCTCGGACACCATGTCAGCTACAGACTCTAGCAACTGGTCTTTTAAAGGGGATAATGTACTTGTTTGATCGGTCGGGGACGGTTCTGTACATTGGTGTTCATTTCTGTCCATAAATGCAATTATATTTTTTGCCAGTACTTAGACTAAATTATCAGTTACACATGAAGTGCAGTGATCAGCAGAGGTAAACGATAACTATCTTCCATTAAATTCAGTGGCGTAGCCAGCCTGACAATTTAGTCATGCCACTGCTAAAATTATTAACTGCGATACTGCATGAGCATCAATGAGCAGTAAAATATCTGATATTATGGACCGCTGAGCGTTTTTCGTATTGCTGGGGCTCAGAACCGCGCGCCTGCTAGGAGAGTCCGGGAAAACTTTGAAATATAGGTCTCTGAAATCGCCGCAAATGCCTTTCAATTTTGGGATTATTGGAAAATAATAATTACTACGTAAAGTTACCAGCATGTTTGGCGCTCATATACCATGGATGACCATGCTCTCTAAGTGGTCAAATGCTTGTCCTATGTAAAGTTTCCAGAAGGTTTGGCCCTCATATACAAACATTAAACAATATAACATGCTTTGGTTGTGATGTCAAATATTTTGACATGGATATCCACGCTGTTTTAATGGTCAAATGCTTTGCCGTTTTTTGTAAATTCTAGAGAAATAAAAACATTCGAAATTAAAGACTAATTACGGAAAAATTATTAGTGGGGCTAAAGTCCAGCAAGCCACCCTGCTCCGCTGTCTGTGGATATGCATAGGGAAACGAAAACTTTCATTCCCCTAAAGCAAACTTCGATGGGAAACTATCAATTTCTCTCTCAAAGCTCTGTCAAGAAGCAAAATATTATGCTGAATCGATTGTATGCATGTGGAGTGCGATATAATCGAAAACAATTTTAACATGCGTGATTCTCCTTTTCTTAATGTAGTCGTTAGTCTAAGCTGAGGGATGGAAACTTAGGACATTGATCAAACCGGTGCGATGAGGTTTTGCAAAGCTAACAAGAATAACTCATACTCACTTCTTCTCGTTCTGGTGGTTTCTTTATATGGTGAATTGAATTCTTGTTCGTAAAGGTCGAGAAGCTCTCATTCCAGCCTTCATCTCCACGCTCATGTATGACATTAAACTATGCAAAATTTTCGCTCCATTAAGATTTGCTAGTCTTGATCTCACGAATCATCAAAACACTTTTTCTGTTCGAAAAGTGACAGCACATGACTATTTTCCATATCGTTTGGCAGACACACCTCTTTTAGCGTGTTATAGCTTCTCTTTACCAAATGTACTAGTTTAGAATCTGGTATTTTCGTCGCGGTTGAGCGTTTCAAGCTTGACAATATCTTGCACGATTGTATCTGATACTACTCGCAGATCCCCGTACATCGAGTCAACTTCCATGCTGCGTCATAATTAGTGCAGATGCCCCAGCAACTAATTCAAGCGGTTTTTCTTTTAAACATGTTAGTGAAAATGTTATATGGTCACGTTTGCAATATTTAGCTTCGATGACATGCTTGAAATCTGTTCGGAATATCGCGTACTCACTCAGATCTCCTGGAAACCTGAACGTCTTTTGTTTTTGTATCTTCAATGATCATGCGCTATTACCAGTGGCTGTATCTCCCCCCGTCGTACCAGGTATGACGTCTCTAAGTTAACATTGTTCTTCTCTGTTTGTTGCAATGTCGCTTACCTCAGATTGATTCACTGGTAAGTTTTCTTCCTCTGTTTCTCGGTATTTTGTTGCCCTCTGTTTGAAATTTAATAAAAATGCCCTGGCATTCTGCTAACCAAATGCTTCTTCCTGTTCCAACACGGAATCATCCTTGATTAATTTTGTAAAATCTTCTTGTTTAATAATCAATTTTCCTACATTTTTTGTATCTTAATAACCGATTGTTCAATCTCAGTAAATATTTATAACATTTATAGGGGTTGGTTATTCGCACAAATTCAGTCGGTAATTTTTGAATGTATCATGTTAACTCATAAAAATGCACGTGTCCCTGATAATTAGTTAATTGCGCATGTTTCTGGACACGAAGTCGTATCCTACCAAATAACATATCTTTGGAGGAAAATACATACATACATACACCCTGTAAACACTAGTAAATTATCCAAACCATCAACTGACGAATAGCGCACCCAAAAACGTTTTAACAATCGAGTCGAGTAGCTACTGTTAGACACAAACTTGTAACAGAAAATTTGAATTTGGAAATCGGGAAAATATCGGATATAAAGTGGAGTCACGGCGGAGAATCGAAGCACTACTTCAAGTATAGTTTGAATGGAAAAGGGATTCGGCCCAATATAAGGACTCGCTGTGTTTCAGTCTGCAGATTGTCTCATCTTAGTATAGTTTTAATTCTATTGTGACAGTCCGCAGTAATTGATCTTGCCTTTAATTTAGGAGAAAATGTCTCTTGAATGTTATAAATAGTGATAAATATAAGCGATAAATTGACCATGGAACACGAAACGCGACATAAAGAGAATGTATATTGAAAAAACCGATTCACACTCATTGAGCATTCGACTGAAAATACTGCATTGAAACGTTGTGAGAAGATTGAGATATCCAACTCAATGAGTTTGAGTGTACAGGCCTATGTCTTTGAATAATTGAATTATTTATTGTATTTGTAGCCGCTGTCATATCTCTGTTCCCTTAAATCGCAATATTACTGTTTACAAAGCTGACTTTGAGCCAGTTTTAATAATAATCTCAATTTTGTATTGTTGTTCACTCTAGATATCTATTTTGGATTGGTCATGATGTTGGAAGAAACATAATGCGAAGACACTTGGCTACTAAAAAGGAAAAACAAATATATGCTTTCAACAGAGATGAGGATTACTATCTGGCTCTGGATTACCACAGGAAGCGAGTGTACGCGTACGAGGGAAGGGGATCAGTTAATGTCATAATTGAAATGGATTACGATGGTCGTAACAGCGATCACACAACTAATTATGGCTCAGCTGTTCTTAGAGGATGGATGTCAGTGGACGTTATTGGAGATTCTCTTTACTGGAAAGAAAGAAGTTCACCCATTGTCATGAAAATGAATGTCACCAGTAGAGATATATCTCGTTATATTCCGTTACCAAAAGGCTTCAACTTGAGAAAGCTTCTCGTCGTAGACAAAGATCGACAACCTGAAGGTAAGTTCGTACATTCTGGTAAATGTTAATGTGAGGCTCACTTCCTGCATTCGTTTTTCTGGTAAAGAAACTACGAAACCGACATTAGAATAGACCTCTCAAAAATTTCGCTGTCACACACGCAGCATTTGCAGTTTTATATAAATTAAGTAGCTTTTATTATAGGTGAAACCCTTCAATTTATTTTGGTTTTTGTTTATATACACGGATATCCGACAATTTAGATTCATTATGATAAATCTAAGCCATAGCTCCTTGCCTAAGGCAAAGCATCTGACAATGCAGTGGTTATGATACAATCGAGATATGGCTTGCGATATTTTTGTTTGCCCTGTTGAACGTTACAGAAAATTATGCGGAGTTGTTTAGGCACCGATTAATTCAATCAGAGCCGCGCCACAAAAAACCTTGTTTTCGTGATATATTCAGTCAAAATTTCATTATTTCTTTCTTCTTAAAAGAATGAGCAAGAAATAAATGCAAAATACAAGAGGAAAAAACAATACGGCCACATATGCATGCAATAAAAACTCTCATTCGAGCAAAACAAGCATGAAATATCACAAAACGTTACCAACGTCAAAAAATGAAGCGTTTTTATTGCAACAGCTGATATCACTAACAGCCATACCGTGAACCTATATAAATATTATCTGTAACATTCCTCATTCTAAGGAAAAACACTTAAGGTTCCATGTCAGCGAACCACATATGCTACTATTCCGCAATATATCTCATAAAAATATATTCTGATTGATGTTTAACTCTATTATGATTAATTTCACACAGCACAACCAAACTTTGGTGTCGACACCACGCATAGGTCTGTAATAGAACTCTGGAAAAGTGGACTTTTTATTCCAGTCAGCCATCTTCAGTAAGGAACTTAAGAAAGTAACATTTTTCGAGCCAACGTGACGGTTGCAAAAAGCCTGGAAACTGCTATGCCTTTCCCCGCTAATTTCAAAGCATTTAAGCAAACTGCAGCTACGGGAGATGTCTTCGTTTCGAAAAATTAGAGAGTTTTGTTTAGTATTGTTTGAAGAAGGTGTTCTGACTGAAGAAGAGTTTATTTTATTGCACTTAGCGTACGATTCAAGGAATCCAAGGAATTATTCGGCTTTTTGTCTGGATGACATGAACGAAGGCGAATGTTTAGCAGAATATAGAGTACAAAAGTGCGACCTTGTATTTCTTCAGAAAACTCTACAAATTCCCGATGAAATTACATGCCCACAAAGCGCAACCTGTTCTGGACTCGAAGAACATGCTCTTGAACCGCCTTGCATATCCATGTCGAAACTCCGATATTATTCAACGCTTTGGCCGACGCTTTCCATCATTTCTTTGTATTTATCTTGCATCATTCGCATCATTCTAACTGTTGTTCTCCTATTTGTGATGCCGATTGCTTTTTAATTTCCTGCTCGCTCTTTTTAGCGCTATTTCCTCTCGACGAAGTTCGCTGTCTGTGCTCGATCTTTGTTTAAGGTATTCGATCAGTTTGCTGCTTCCCCTACGGGTTTTTTTCGGTTTAGAATCCGCATCCTCGGTCATGCGTTTCTTCGTTTCTCCCATACTCTTTAAAGGCTTCATTCTGATGTCTTCCGCATTTTCTTTTTCTTTTTATTTACGAGCTGTGTCGACATCAATAAAACTGTCTTCTTTAGCACACAATTCTTCGATCTTACTTTCTCTCTCTGTGTAAGGTCATCAACATCAATACGACTGGAAGCTTCCTCGTCCCTGGTTTTCTTTTTGTATTTAGTGTTTAATAGGTTTCATCGGTCCCGCACACTTCTTTTATCTTTCAATCCAAATACAGGATTTTCGATTCTGTTTATATTTTCAACGATGAAATCCCAGACTACGCCTCTATTAGGACTCTCCTTGTAAAGAAAAAGATCACTAACCAACATTTCTCTCATTAACAATGAATTGTGGTCTTTTGTCCACTCCATTGGCGTTGGTTTCGAACTTGCAGGCTTAGTTGCCATTTGTAGCCGAGTTTTAAAGCTTGTTTGCGCCACGTTTTAAAGATGACGGCAAAATAGCCCATTACATGTTGGCGCCGCCGCGTTCAAAAACGTCAGTGCTTAATTTCCCTATTATCTCATCTAAGGGAACAGATCCGTTGGCAGCTGCTAAAGTTGCTGCTCCCCTTACTGAATGCACTTTGAAGATATTTGTATCTATACCAGCCTGACCAAGCATTGAACGAATCCAGCGAGCAAGCGTTGCTTAACTGACTGGTTTAGGAGGTTTAATAAATGAAAGGAACAACTCATTTGTTTGGTGTGTTGAAGTGTCCCTAAATTCCGCCGTCGTTGAAATGTAAGGTTTAAAACATGTCACTGGACATAACCTACGGTCATCCGGAAAACATGTATAAAATGCCGAAACGGTTTCATCCGGTCGAGTTGTCTTTGTGGAGGATTCTCTCTATTATGCAGTACACGCCCTACAGCGTGGTCTAATCCACTGCGCCGAATCGACTTACTACGCTAAAGTACTTCAATGAGATACTTTTTCAGTTTTCTGATGCATGACAATCGTATAAACGTTTCATTTATATCTGATGCTGCCTTTCTTTTTGCTTTACAACCAGCATTCCCAACTTGAAGAAACTGTAAAATGTCTTACAAGAATTTCTCTTTTTGAATCGCGTGAGCTAATTTTTTACGCATAATTGGATGCTGTCCTCGCTCTGTTTACATCGCCAGTTCAAACATGGAGCTCAGAGCCTGGGTTTTAAGTCACATTTTGCGAAGACGCGTTCATCACGAGCGCAAAAAATATGCAAAGCCTATTTATCGTCGGTAGAGAATTATTCAGAGCCTTAATGAAATCAAAATTTCAAACGTTTTCAGATATTGGCTCTAAGGAAACATTTGATAACAGGAAGCATATAAAATGAAAACATCTTAATTCAGGTTCACTACACGAATTTTCTTCACGCTCTCGTAAAGTATCATTTTTTGACTCATTTCTTGCGGATAACACGATAAACACTAGACTAGTGTGGCGCCCAGCTACGCGGAATTATCTCATTGTCTGCATGTCCACTGACAATAATTTCAGTTCGTTGCGTGTTAAAGGCATACTGTAGTGATGTCCGACAAAACAGCGAAATCTCGGACTTGTTTAACAGGACACTGTATATAATTAGACGCTGTCGCGCAAAATAGTTTTCCCTGTGGTTCTACAATACAGAATCAGATTTCAGGATTCCGTTAATCTTTAGCGAAGTTCGCATAAACATCGAAGGAAAGACCAATATTTTGATGAGGTATTTTAATTGCGAGTCCATGAAAACTCTTCGATCTTTAGCTTCTGAAATCAAGTGTATTATTGAGCTTATGACCAAGGAATGTAAAGATTTAGGTGCATGTGTGGTGAAAATTTAATTTGATCTTAAAATTTCGCTAAAACTAAACAATGAATTCAAATATGGCACATTCATTGATGTATGATGGAGAAATTTTAATTTTTAGAAAAAGTGATTCTGTAAACGGGATGATCGTCAATGCATGTCAACGAGTTTCACCCTTAAAAAACCCGTCCTACCTTTTCAGTGGCTGATTTCACAAAGTTTGTCTCGCGAATACGAGACTATGTAATTTGAGGTGTGAAGATTTAAAAGCTGGGCAATTAGGATTATTAAGGTGAAAACCTAACAAGGCTAGTTCACCTAAATATGAATTTGATCTGTTGATAGCAAAAAAATTCTCATAGCAGCATAAATATCAAGTATTTGGGTTATGAATGCTATCGACCGCCAAAGAGGCTACCGACCATGTACGAATCGCTACGCTGCTGTCAACAGCTAAATTAGACAAATTATGAATATCTGAAACTTTATTCCTAGAATACTAAATTTATGGAGTATATTTTTCTTTGGCAGGAAAATGCACAAATATTTCATGTATTCACGGCCACTGTTCTAGCACAAATAGCTCAGAAATTTGTCATTGCGATAAGGGTTTCAAATATAACGGACAAGCGTGCAAAGGTATATAATAAATGAATCTAAACTATTTTTTTCACGTCTTGTATGAAATATAAAAGAAATTTAGCAAACAACACGCGACGTCCCGGACTTCGCGAAAATGGCCTGGATACGCATCTATGGTTGTGGTTACGCCATATCCACGCCATTTTTACGATGCCTTACGCGCTTCGGGGTGTTTGCTAAATTAAATTTCGCTAATACTCCGTATATTTCACCTACACGCCTAAAAACGATCAGGTTGATGTATTATTGATATGAACAGGATAGAGCAATGTTGTGCTGCCCACATTGTTCAGAGTTGTTATCAACATTGAACAATATTGTCACACCCGATTCATTTTCAACAATATTGTTCAATGTTGTCAGTTGACTAGTGTGAACAATAATGCCAGCATAACATTGCTCCATGCTGATAAAACACCTCAAATTAATATTTTGTTGATATGGTGTTTCGGCCCTGAAGTTCATAACTTCGAGATATTTTCTATAGCCTTTTTTGAATCTTGGTTTAGATATTGATGAATGCGTGCCATCTCCGTGCAATCTTACCGGTCTGGAACGATCATGCAACAACACTCCAGGTTCTTACATTTGTATGTGCAAAAATGGGTCCAATTTCAAGGAAGCAAGATGTGCAGGTATGCACATACTCTTACTTTTATATTTTGTTTCGTTTCAACCAGATTTTCATAAAAGCAAATTATACTCCCAATCAGAACAGATTATTACAACACACGTTTTAAAGACAGAATAGATTCAAATTTGCTACCAGTCATAATTGGATAATTGCAACTTGATTAAAATTCTCTGAAATATTAAATTTTCGATATATGCAGGGATGAGTTATTGCAATAATTGGCGTACATATGTTTTATGGTATTTGTTGAACTAAAACACACTTGAGGATGATTATGATAGAAAGCATCTTGTAAAACCCAACATATTATTACAGTACATTCTTGTTTCGATCTTTTTACTTCTTTAAAATTTGGTATAAAAAGAGTCCCAAGATAGGAAATTGGGTCCCAAGATAGGAAATTGAACAATAGCTTTTGCCTGACCAAGATATTGCGACATTTCATTGCACGCAATAAAATGCCTGCTCGCATCGGCATTCACTCTCTGTTTGACAATCTTGAAAAATTTTGCACCAGCTCGTGACTAATTTTTACCGTTTTTGCTTTGTAAAGTTTCTTCAAAACTTTTTTCTGTATTGCTACAGCGATTTTGCGCGCGAAATATTTCGCAAATTGTTCTGCCTTGACCTGCATTTGGTTCTTGCTCTGATTATTCCTCAAGCAGCTGAACAGTTTCAAATTCGAGTAACGCCGGGTTTCGCGCACTCACAATTTTGTTTCAGTATTTTGCATGTCATCGATCTCCGTGATCAAAATTGACCAGGACAAAGACCAGGTTCATTTTTCAGAACACTGTAGAATTTTTGTTTTTATCTGCAATTCCTGAAAAAATACTCGATGATAGTAAAAGAGTAAACTGCGTTCTAGAAATCTCTACAACAGAAATATGGTAGACGGAATGTAGCTAGAATGTTCACAGGCATTTTAAGAAGGGTTAACTCGACCATTTGTTTTGAAAATGTTGCGTATTTCGATATTTGAGCAACATAAAGTGTATATGTAAAATAATTTAAAATTCGATTCCTAATACCAATTTTATAACGGCTGCATCTTGAGCTTGCTAACATAATAATAAATACTCCATATTTGAATTTTTTATATTCAATTCGCAAATATCTAATACATCTTTATGAAAGTGGGTTGACAGAATGAATTAGATATATGAACTTAAAGATTATATCAATTCTGACCATGCTCCATTGTTAATATTTTGTTAAATCTATCAGTACACTTGCATATTACCTCTGAAATAGGAATGTATCGAAACAGTCATGACTTAACCCAGGATTATGAGCATTTCATATGCATCCTTGTTTTCATGCTACCCGAGTTGCTCTCTTTGCTGCAGACTCACAGCGCTGTGATTAGATGGGATCAAGTAACCCCGGATTACGTTTCAATATATTGTTATTTCATGAAGTAAACTCAACGAAACATTAAATACTTAACTTCATCGCTAGGATAACTCATGTCAAGTTGAAAAGTATTCTAGCCACCTTTCCGGGTTTCCACAACGAAGACCTTTTACCCGACTAATTGGTCCTTCGTGAATATATTATGGCGCCATGAGGACATAGCTGATCGCTCCTATATCGATCTTTAAAATCGTACCATCCGCATGTTATTACATTGGGTGATTTTTGGCCTGCTCCGACAATTAAAGTTTTTCGCAACTTATAATGAGAACTATGCTAATCTTGGAATTGTATTTTCGCTAAATGTTCTAAATTCCGCGAAGGACCCCGCGACGGGTTGCAATTTTCGCGGCATTCCCAGTTTAATTTTGTTATTATTATTATTTAAAGAAACTAACATTGTAACCCATAGGTTAAATTGCGTTAGAATTTACATACAAACGATATATTAAAAGCTATTTAAGTAAAGCTACTATACTAGACTATATTAAAAATTTAGAAAATTGAGGAATATTAAAATAATTGTTTTAAAACTCTTTGTGAAAAGATAGAGTTTTTAAATCGTTCGGTATGGCAGCGATAATGATTATATAGATTGTTATAGCGTAGTTCATAGTTAGTCACTCTCTTTGCGGGCAGATACTCTTCAAAGTAGGCACTATCAATATTATGTTGGAAGAACCTAGTTGAAAGATTCTCTCGACGACCCTGCAACGTATCAAGATTCAACTGTTCCAATGCATCAGCATAAGTATAGTGATGCAAATAATTCTCAAGACACGCTTTTGAAAACTTTCAATCTCATCGCTTACATAGGTAGGAATATTATAATGCCAAACTTGTGCAGCATAATCCAAAACTGGTCGAATTATTGTGGTATACACAGTGATCAATGTTGCCTGATCCGCTTTTGCCCGTTCCAACAAGTGTAACATATAAAGTCTTTTACTCGCTTTTGTAAGTATATTATGGATATGCTTGTTCCATTTTAAGTCATTTTGAATAGTGAGACCCAAAATTTCAACTGAACTGACCATTTCGACTGGTAATTCTTCTATGAGCAATGGCGTAAAAGATGATTTCTCGTTTGAAAACGGCACTATTAGTTCTTTACACTTGGACACAATAAGTTTTATATGATTTCGTGTCGTCCAATTCGCAATTTCGTCCACTAGGAGTTGTAAAGTGGTATTGGATTGAGGTGTTACAGTCTCACTACCCGTAACGTCATCGAGATACTTCCATCTGTCATTCCACTCAGCCAAAAGATCATTCACCATAACCAGAAAAAGAATCGGACCTAAAACTGTACCTTGGGGAACGCCAGCGTTAATAGCACGCCAATCAGAAACACATCCATTTAGTTTGACACGCTGCTTTCTATCGGTCAAAAAACTTCGAACCCAATTCCTCAAAATCAGTGGAATTTCCAAATTAGCCATTTTTTCGAGCAAGATATGATAGTCGACTCGATCAAAAGCTTTGGAGAAATCGATAAGAAGTACTCTAACCGAGTTGCTGGTCCCATCAGTTTCATGCAACAGATGGTGAATAAGGGTGACCAATGCATGCGTAATAGATAAGCCATTCAAAGATCCAAACTGCCGCCTGTCGATTCTATCACGTATACAATTGAGAACCCAATCGGCAACAAAACGCTCGCAACACTTTGATAACGTTTGAGTAAGGGAAATCGGTCTCAAGTCCTGGTTAACATCATTAACATTATGTGATTTCTGGATAGGGATAACATTAGCACGCTTCCAACGACTTGGGACGTGTTCAGATTGGATAGACGCATTAAAAATTGATGTTATCGCCAAAGCCAGTAATGATGAATAACATTTCAATACCCATTTCGGGATATCACCCGGGCCAGAGGACTTGGAGACATCCAAAGAGGATAACACGTTGAAAACCTCCTCCTCCTTAATTATATACTCTGTAGGAAGATCGCCAACGTTGCTGTTTGTAGGAAGTTGTTGGAGAGGAGCATACTCTTGGGAGATCTTAGAAAATTCATCATTAATTTTATTGGCAAGTGCGGCGCCAGTCAGTGGTTGATTATCAGTACCCATAACTTTAAAAAGAAAAAAAGTCCCATAAAGGACTTTGAGTCCTTTTGTTGTATCCTGCTAATTTTTTAACTGAGTCCCACCACTTTTTTGGATTTGGATTTGACGCAAGGTGGTTAAGTTTCCTTTCAAAATAAGATGATCTGAGTTTTGACACTTCTCTCTTCACTCTATTGCGCAACTGCTTATACACGAAAGAATTTCCTTGATGAAACGCTTTTTGTCTATCACGAATCAATTTCTTAAACTTAGCAGTTATCCAAGGCTCATCGCGATTGTGAATTTTTATGAGCTTTAATGGAAAGAAAATATCTATCCCTGCTTCAATAGTGTCATGGAAGATGTTCAATTTGTCTTCGCAAGAAGTAGTGTGGTTCAATGGAGACCAATTAAAGTTTGATAACCACGTTCCAAAAGCGTTTATCGCTGACGTATTTCTTTTCCTAACCGAAAGCTTTCTTACACCATTCTCGCGATCGCTTAAACCAATTAGTGGTAGGATTTGGGGAGCATGGTAGCTAGCAGAGAGGTTTGTAAGGACATAATCAAGTATTGCGTTTCTTCTAGTAGGATGCTTAACGATCTGTTTCAAACTGAAGCGCCGACACAGCCTGGAAATAGGACATCGATTAAAGTCACCGACCACAAGCCCGCCAGCATGCGGGTGTTTTACCAAAACTAAATCCAATGTCGTTGATATATGTTCAATTAGCGAGTTTGGGTCGTTTGATGGAGCATGGTAAATAACACATACGATTATTGAAGAAATCCCACGAGGTAACTTTTGAGGTCTAATATGCAACCATAAAGATTCAAACGACTCATCAAAGAATTCATTTAGTACGTTGACTGGGACACTCGATTTAATAAAAGCGCACACGCCTCCGCCGATTCTTGAAAATCTGTCACGTCGAATCAAAGTAAAACCATTTATCACAACGGCTGCATCATCAATACGGTCTGTCAGCCATGTCTCAGTAAGTTTGATCTGGGTTCGTATGTTTTTGTCCTCTCTTCCTCCGAACATCACTTCTACATTTAGAAGAAGTATGTTTGACATACGAATCTGTGAATTTACCATGCAAGTAAAAAAAATAGGTACGCAATGCGTACATGTGGGTAGCCTGTAAAACATTATTAATGTGATAAAGCTGCTATAGTGGCGAGTAAATATCAACTGATGCAATAAAATATTATTTTCTAGTCCATAAAAAACGGAATAAACACCCTATAGTTAGCTGGTTGAGTACAGTTATAACGAAGTTGATTTATTACGCAATCTATATATTATAATATTTTATTGTATTAAATACATTTTAGGACAGATCAAAACATATATAAAAGCATTTTTCAAGAGATAGGAAATGAAATTTTTTCAAGCAGAATAGGTGAACAGAACAAAAAGGAGAGTAAGGTTCTGGGATGGTGGCACACATCATCTGATAACATAAAGCTTAGTTTAGAAGGAGAAAGATCTTAACAAAGATTTCAATGAGGATAAACTACTTGA